ATTTTGCAAGAAACTGGTATCCTTGTGCCTATCGGCTCAGGAACGATTAATTACTACTAGAATTAATATCAGGGTCCGAATTTGAGTGCTGCAATGGGAGGAAAGGAAGAAAAGGAAACCGCCGCGCACACCTGTTAAGTCTTTTATAAACTTTCTCGTCCTGACAGTTTCAAGGTATAGAGTGTTTTCACATGACGTCACGGCGGCCATATTGGCGTCCCAAACCAGTCCTGAGGGAGTTGAACTCCTTTCTTATGCAAACGCTTTTTTTGTTCCAATAAATTTGTATAGATGCTGGCCACGTGAGTGAAAACACTCTATTTAATTTACAGTGTCTGTTGCAGGTGTCGAATTAATCTTACAGCAACTGGAAACGTGGCCACGCCTGCTGAAACTGAGATTGCTTGTAGGATGAACGGCTATAGTTTGGTATATTTACGAGCGCGTTTTGTCCAGTGAACTGAGTGCGTAGTTTTTCTTAACGAAGGGATGGGGTGGGTCAAGTGAATAGTTCGGGGAACGTTTGCTTTCTTTAGAGGGGGGGGGTATATTTGTTGATTTCAGGAGTTCTGGCCTAGATAGAGTCGTTGTAAAGCTATTTTTGCTTGGGATATAGTTATTAGAGGAGACTGGTTATGAAAAGCGGCAAACATCAATGATAAGAACAACAGTGCTGCAGTTTCTGTTGGAAGTACCGTGAAAGTGCACAATCCTTTGTTTTCTGTTGGTAAATTGTTACGGAATAAATTAATGCAACGTTTTTATTGGTCAATACAATCAAAATGATAGGAATTCTTTTGAACATTGTGCACTTTCAGGTCCTCAAAAACATATAACAAAGGAGTCTGACGGGTTTCATAACCATTCCACTCAATTAACTATGTTTCGGAGTGTCGGTTTACCGGAAGCTGAGCAAGGAAAAGTCAATGGTGCATTTATGGAATAATAATAGAGATTCTCATGGTCTAACAGTACGAAGATTAGACTTCTGGTAAGGTGGCAACGATCAAGGCCCGCATTATAATTCATAATAATTGAAGGTCATGATGTAAAAAAAGCGACTGAAATGGTGGATGCCATGCAATCCTCTCGGGTGGGGGCGGCGTACCTGGCCTTAAAGGTTACCCCTGCGACAGAAGGCAAGAATGCCCAGAGTGTCCACGGGTTGCTAAATGAGACCGTCCCTTTCTTAGTACCCGTTCCCTGTCTTAAAATTAGACCCGGGCAAATTTCTCGAGATTGCACCATCATTTTGGGCTTAAAGCTTCCAAAGTCCAACAATAATAGCGCATGTTCGCGACAGTTTTTTAAGTCAGTCAAGTTCTTAAACCAGGCTTTAAGGTGGCTGAACACAGTTTTGGCATTTTGTGACTATATGTTATTTGCCAAATCATGGCAAGAGAAAGGTTGCAGCTCACAAGCTGAAACTTGGCAAGTGAAAAATACATTGATGAAAGATTTTGATTGACAGGTAAAATGTGGCGTTTTCGTAGTTTCCATGGCAACATGAACGATTGAATACAACCCTAAAATTTCACTTTTGCTCAGTTTACACAAAATTCGCTCATTAGATTTTGCTATAAACTTGCACACAGCTTACTATAAGTAATCATTACCATTTGAAACTTATTTGACCAAATTTTAACTGACGGGTTTTTAGATAATCAATAATATAATTGTACTGTAATTATTAAATGTGTCGCAAAATTCGTCTGTTCAACTTCCATTTTAAAGTTCTCATTATTTAAAATACGATAAAAGGAAAAATTCTGCCAAATATCACAAAATTTTAATGTTTAGATTTTGAGAAATCGTCTTCTCTGTACCATTGTTTTTTTCGCCGCCATGTTTGCTTGTCTAATTTAAAACACGCGCCGCCACGCAAGTTTCCGCTGACCGCGCACAAAACTGTGTTCAGCCACCTTAAACGGCCAGTTTTAAGTGTCGATAACAGTTAAAAAGGCATACAAGCCTCATGCAAAAGACAGTGGGAAGGAAGTGCACATCGGTGATGGGGAAAAAGGAGTAGCCCACAGTTATTTAGGGGTGGATCTTTCGAAACATTCTTATACTCTTGGACAGATATGCATTGTTTAAAGTTTTAGAAAAACCAGGTGTAAATTTATAAAATTTATAGTAACAAACTGTTAAATTTTCATCAGCAAGATTTTTGCGAATCCTATTTTTCGCTAGTCTGCTACACAGCCGTTTTTAGTGTCGTCACGCAACGCTCCTCCGACACTAAAAACGGCTGTGTAGCAGACTAATTTTTCGCTGGAAACTATCGTTTACTGGCTGGTCACGCAATCAAAGGTAACGTACTTTCCTACGTTTGTTTACTCACCTTTCGCTCACCAATACACTGCGTTTCACAAAGGATCCAAATTGCGCTAGAATTGTTTTGCTATTCGGCCCACTTTTTATCTCAGGTAAGGCACTGCAAAGCTGATTCACTTACGAAGATTCGAGGGAGAATTATTTCTTGATGTTATTGTGATTTCGCAGTCACGGGAAAACAGACCTAGACTCAGGTCCACTCGCAGACGCCATGGTACAATCTACAAGATCTCAAGAACAGAAATTACCCATTGAACGGCCTCTCCTTTTGAAAATTGCGTGTATTTCATTAAAACAGGTACACATTAAAAGAATCTTGTTAGTTTCGCCCTTCTAACGAGCTCAAATCGATGCATAAAACTAAGGTGACGTGCACGTGTCAACTGACCCTGGAGTCAATTAGCGGTTGTTTGGGGCAAAATAACCTCAAAATAATCAATCTATTTTACAAGCGTTCGCCAGAACACCAGACTAACTCTCAGATAATGTTGAAGTACTATATCTCATTAGGTAGTAAGAGGGATTTGGGGTGATTTGGAGAATCCCCCCATATAGAAAATTCGATTTTGGTTTTAGCGGTAAATTGTTGTATTTATAAGCATTATGCAAATTACGTTTCAAAATTCTGCTGGTTCGTCGATATTTCATGCTCTAAATCTAAAAAATGTGCCGTTCAGAAATTGTTAGATATCTGCTTTTTGAGATTTAAGTGGAAGATTGCCAATATATTCGCTCGTTTATGAAAGTCAGCTCATTTCTGTCGCTAGGCTATATTGCCGTGTTCGGCGGCTAATTTTAGGCCCGCAGACCGTTGAAATCGAAAATCTTAAATAATTCCCAAACTCGGCCGCATTTTGAAATTTAAACCTCAGCAGTGTTATAAACTCATTAAAGCCTTATTACAGACTGAAAATGAGGGTAAGTTAGGTTTTGAGCTGTGGCCACGATTTGCCGATTTTGCTCGATTTTTCTGTGCATTCGCTCTTAATCATCGACACAATGTTGTCTGTATGGTTTTATTGAGTCATTCACTCATCATAGCATGCAATAGGTTTACAATTATCAACAAAATACTATAGGAACAAAAACAGTAACAGGAACGTTTGGTCTTTTTATCGATCTTCAGCTTCAGCGCAGTTCATAATACAGGAAGAAGAAGAAGCTGCGGCCAAAGTAGCGGTGTGCAACCCTCGGCTAGTCTCGTTATAGCAACGCTATAAAGATGAAGAAGAATAAACAACAAAATCAATGTTTTTATGATTTCAATTAGTCGCATTAAGAATGAAACTTAAGGATAAATCACAGAGTAAGAAAGAAATAATTTTCGATTATTGTTATCGATTTTGACAATCGATAAAAATCGATAATTTTTTTCTGTGAGCTCGATTGTTATCAATTACCGATATCAATCGATAGCAACAGGCGATTGATATCGATTGATATCGAGTGTATCGATTGATTTCCGATATCGATTTCTATCGATCGACTACGCCTGTTTCTCTGGCGACAAGTTGCAACAACTCGTCGCGGCGACAGATCACTCCATGTGTACAGGTCGGGCGACTAGTTGCAGCAACACGGTGAGAGACACGTCGTAGCGACAAATCGCTTCGTGTGTACTGGAGAATTTTTGTGAAAATTTGTCTCCACAACAGAATTTTACTACTGCAACAAGTCGCAAAAAATCAAATCAGACTGAATTTGTGCGACTTGTTGCGGCGACAAAATTCTGTTGCAGCGACAAAGATTTTCACAAAAATTCAGTACGCACGAAATCAAAATGACATTGTATCAATTCCACCCTTCTATTGTGTGTATAGCTGTTTAAACAGGAAATAGGACTCAATAAAACTGTAAACTGTAAAGAGGCAACAATCAGCCACCAGTAGTGCCTTTGTTTACAGAAAACAGTACCGGCCTTTAATGAATCAACTCTACCTCTTTGTTTTCTCTACTGGCTATTGGCACATCGGTGGAAAAAAAAAAAGCATTTTTTTCAATATTATGCTTAAATGAATGTCATTTGACTTTGCAAATATAGGAAACAAAAGTGTAAAAATAATTGAACGTTTATGTCCTTAAGATGCGGACGAAAAATAATTTTCATCTCTTTCTAAAGACCAGTTAAAATGTGCCGAGAAAGACCAATGAAAAAGGCTTATAGAAATGGTTTGACATCTCATCTCATTTTTTTGTCTTCGTTTCTGTGTGAAAAAGTGCTTGAAGAATAGGTAACACCTGAATTGACAAAAAACTGTTATTGACACTTTAATCAAAGTTATTGTTCTTTTTGCGGTGCCTAGTTGATTGTAGTTATAACACTGAAAAAGCATGCAGTATAGCAGATTGCTATGACTTTGCATATATTTGACCTTGCAAATATAGTAAAAAAAAGTGTAAAAATAATTGAACATTTATGTCCTTAAGATGCAAACAAAAAAAGATTTTCATCTCTTTCTAAAGACCAGTTTGTGCCGAGAAAGACCAATTAGAACGGCTTATAGAAATGGTTTGACATCTCATCTCATTTTTTCTTTTGTCGTTTGTGTGTGGAAAAACTGTTTGTAAGAATATGTAACACCTGAATAGACAAAAAAACTTTTATTGGCACTTTTAATCAAAGTTATTGTTCTTTTTGTGGTGTTTGGTTCATTGTAGTTATAACACTGAAAAAGCATGCAGTATAGCAGAATGCTCTGTGCTCATTTTTTAAGCAGACTCCCAGGCCTGAACGAGGTAGGTGACTTTAAAAAAAAGGGAAAAGAAGCTTATTGAAATAGAGAATCCTTCAATTAACTAATCATGCTAAATTCCATAGTTTCTTGAGTAAATTCTAGTAGATTTGACTGGCTTCTAGATAAAAGGTAAGGTTTTTTTTTGCAAGGCACCCAATGATGTCTACTTTGTTATTCACAACTTCCGAATCAGTACTCTAATCTACAAAAACGTAAGAATCTCAATTTCATAAGTCCAAACTTCGAATGGAAATCATTATGAATATATTGATTCAGCATCAATATATCCTCGTGAAACTAAATTTTGTAATAGTAAGTAAGCCTTAGTCTCTCTAAAATTAAGAGCCACTTATTAATAAACAACGTTTGTTTACCAGTACCACTGAGATATCGTTCAATAACTACCAACACTGAAATGTGCTGTTTAAGAGTAGATCCCAGTAGCGAAGGATGGTATTCTTCAATGATAAGAAGTACCACAGACATCTACTGCTTAAGAGTCAACAACACAAAAACATGCGTCTCACTTTACATAATTAAAGTTTTTAACTTATGAATGAAGCACTAATGTCTCAACCATTCTTGTATTTTTTTCTCTCCTTTTCTCTTGTTGATGGCATGTTAAAATGTAAATGTTTCTACGTTATTAAATTTTTATATTTTTTTTGTGGTCGTAATTCTAAATAGCGTACAACGAAATTTGTTTGGATAGTGTTTTTGTTTTGTATTCACTATTTAAGTGTGAAAAAATTTTAAAAAGCTAGTAAATTACAAAAAAATTAACATAAAAACATACTGAAATAACGAAAATAGTTGAAAGAGATAAAGAATTAATTGTAAACAAGATCAGGGCAGTGAATGAGGCAATTTTATGGTTGCTAATTCGATTCGACCCGAGACTGCGAACATTCTCTATTTTGCTTGAAAATGTGTGCGAGGGCGTGATACGGAAGTGTGCGAGCGGTAAAGTTGCGAGCAGCGAGTTGTGCGGATGCTAGAACGAGCTTATTGGCGACAAAACAATTCGCTCCTGGCGGGTTCGCCCGGGCTCGGGCAGCTTCGCCGCTTGCACACTCGCTTAGCAGTCTAATTCAACCCCTGACCGTTGCCACATTGTTGCAGTGCTCGGCCAATTTAGCGTACACGCCAGCAGGGAGTTGGTGAGAAGGACATTGGTCTTTGGTCAGCCACGCAGAAGTCGGTCAGTTCACATCAAGTTACTGTTATTTTGGTCAGAGTTAAGATTGATGTACATATACTTCCAAAGGGGTGAAACTAGAGTTTAATTAGACTGGGTTCGATGCTTAGAGATCACAGACTTTAAAAGAAATACCTTAAAATTCTGAAAATGAACCCTAGCGCTTATATTTTTCAAAGGTCCTTTTGGAGGGGCTTATATTCGGAGGGAAATTTGCGTTACAGGATCGGCTTGTACATGCTCTTGGTTTTTGGCCATTGGATTGGGCCAGCTTATAGTTGGGAGGAAAGTTATGTCAGTAGTTTGCTAGCCTGTTCCGGGCTCCGAGATAGTCGGGTCCACGGGGATTGAGAAAGCGCGAACATGAAAATAAAACGGGAAGAAACTGGAGAGAGGAAGTGCGGCGGAGCCTGTAATCCTTTCTTTTAAACAGCTTGTTCCGTGATACCATCTCCTGGTATATCCTCTGATTGGTCAGATTTGACAGGTTATAGCAACACTTCTCAATGCGGGTCGTTTCTGTCATTCAGACTGATGGCGTGCTGCGTCCATGCGCGTGAGAGAGAGGAATCCACCGACGATAACTTCTCTGTTCAACGAATGTACGAGATTGGGTTGAGGAAGGAACAGAAGACCTGCCTTATGAACTTGGCGCTTGGAAAAGATGTTTTTCCAATCCTGCCGACCGGCTTGGCAAAAGCTTAACATTTCAGATGTATCCACGTTTGGAAAGACTCTTATCATCTTTAGAAAAACAAGCTGGAGTTTAAAAATCATTGCTTTTTATAAAGAGCAATCATGACTGAGCCACAACACAATTCTCCAAAGTTGATGAAGTTCAGTTTAAGCTGCAATCCATTATTTGGAATCTCGATCGGTTAATCACTACCTTGAGAATTTCAAAATATCCTGTTAAAAACACTAATGACCTGGGCCCAGCGGGACAAAACATGGCAGAAAACCATCTCATTCAAGAAAAAAAGAAAATCGCCTTTAATTATTCAGATCCAGGAACGACTTTGGGGAAAATTAAACAACCCTTCAGTCTGGCCGAAATGAAGAACTTAACGTTTCAAAAGAGATCAAAAAATTCTAGATTGCATCAGAGTGCAAATCATCCCTACCAAAAACAATAACCGCAAAAATCATCACGCGCGTAACGACCTCTCAGCATGAAAGTTTTTGTACTCAGAGGGAGGGATTAGCCCCGCGCGCAATACTCACGCGAGAAATTTGAGAAAGATTGCCAGTCATTGACATTTCAAATGTTTGACAGCCGAAATCTAATTATCTCAAACGTGTTAAAAGAGGCCAGGCTCATACCTAATTGTGAGTGGACGTGGGTGGCTGGCTTTTTTTGTCAAAAGTAGGGCGTTGGCAGAGAGCCCAGGTCCAGACCTAACTGAGGGTAGGGGGTACGGAGGGGAGATTTTGTCATTTTGATCAGAGTCTCAAGTCAGAAAGCAGTGCAAAGTCAAGGAAATTTATCTCAGGGCTAGCCCAGCCAAATCAATGCTCTGACTCATAATCATGATGCTGCTAGCAGAGCTTGGGGGGAGTCATTGACCAGTCATAAGTGTCATGGTTGGGAAGGGTGAGTTCTTGCTCTTTGGACTTGGCTGTTTAGAGGCTGAGTACAGGCACTTTGTATCAAATCCAGCATGAAAAATAACCATGTAACTGGATAAATTACACTTCCCTGTTCGTTTATGAAACCTTTCCGATCATTTGAGACAAAGACAAGGAAGAGAAGTTTCGTTACTTTTTAATTTGAGAAAAGTTTGGACCTTTGTGATTTTTGTGAAAGAAGCGGTTTTGTCAATTTTAATTTTTTAAAAAGGCAACTTAACCTCTGCCATCAAAATCAGTTTTAACTTGATTCCTCTTTTTTGAGTGTTATGACATGTTTTATTTATGTGTACGTTATTTCTTTCAGGGTGGATCAAACAGCTAGCTTCTCAGATGGCCAGGCTCGAGCTGATCTTAAGTTGTGTGTTTGGGTTTCTTCTTACCTTTGCCCACGTAGGTAAGTCCGCTTTACTTTTTATTTGATGTTTTAAAGCCTTTTTGTCACCACAACAATTGCTCTGGTGAGTTCTGTCTGCTATAAACTTGAAATTAGGATGAATCTATTTCCAAAGCTCGGAGTGCGAGCAATAAATGCCAGTCTTCAGTTATAGAGCCGCACACCTTCAGTTCTTTAGATAATATTTACTGTATCTCCTTGTTTTACAAAAATCTACAGAGGGAAGTCCTGAAGATAATCATTGCATAACCTACCCAGAGAGGATTGATGGAAGGCGATCAAGAAGGGATCTTTCAACTTCAGGAAAAGTTAGTCAATAAACAATTTCAAAAGAGGGCCGAAGTATTTTTTCCAAGACAAAGAAAACTTTATCCAAAGAAACAATTAAACCTGAAAAGGACGCATATTGGTAACTGATTAGAAACTAAAGGGGGTTTGAGGCCCGGAAGGGCACATTTGATATTCGCAAATGCATGTCCATTTGAATGAAATAAAATGAAAGTTTAGGAAGAGGTCAGATTAACAAGGAGTTCCGGCCACCTAAGAACATCGACCGTTTTCTAGAATGATGTAACACTGCGCTGATAGGGAAGTGACCTTGCAGCGCAATTTCTTCCCTCAAGAAGGGCTATCTCGACACGTCAGTTCCTGATTTTTAAAAGTGGTCAGTAATATTACATTTCTTTAGAGTGGTCAAAATATTACAGTTTGTTTCTCGCCCATGATCGAATCTGCCGCTTTAATGCTTTCCCGTCTGCGGAATATTTTTAAGCTTTCACTTGCTGGAACTATGTGAGTGTAGTTTTTTTTGCCAAATATTCCGAATTCACAAACGTTTCTGTTGTTATTTTGGTAATACCCAGATAGCTGTTAAGAAATCAGTTTGGAAATGCGATGATTAATTATTGTCTCTTTACTTTCTCTCCTGGCCTACCCAGGCGACAAAATATTTCTGAACCAATCAGGTATCACATGTGAGTAGGAACTAACTGTACATCTTTTCTTGTTTTAGGGAGGTCACTCAGATGAAGCTTCCTATAGATTGAAAGCTTTTAACCAGGAATGGACCCTGGATATAAAGAGAAACAAGTATAAAAATAGCTAAAAATCATTGAGCTGGCTTTAATAGTTTGCTTACCCAATTTTGATCATAACCATAACCCTATAAAGGAAATTTAAAATTCTTAAGGAAACCTAGTGTTTAGTACCAAAGCTTTTCTTTTACAGGGTACTTATTTCGCCACTGTTTTCAACGCGCACATTTGCAAGTGATGGCTCTGAAGTATTGCATAAGGTATTTCAGTATTATTATTTCACAATAATTTAAGATCTTCGTACGTGTATGAAATTGTAGATAACATTTTTCATACATTCCTGGGGTTAAACAAAAAGCATATATCATGCCATTAATAAATCTTCTGGGATATTGCAAATTTCAGCCTTTTTCCGTTTTTCGGCTTACTTAATAAATAACATCTTTTGGAGAATCATACCATCAACTGACAATACATAACTCATATTGACTCGGTAAGGAAAATGAACTCCCATAGTCGAAACAATATTCAGTGTCAACAGCAGTCTTATTCAGCCACAGGACTACCTAAAAACATCCGGACGATCATCATCCATCTATTGACTTTACTGCTGACTTCAGCCTGTTTGTGTTGTATATATTTTTTGGAGAAAGGAGCCAAGTTTTTTGCGTTCACTTAAACTCCGTGCGCCAAAAAGTTTAGAAAACTTGTTAGGCTAAGTCATAGACAAGCTTGATATTAACATGATAAAAAGACTAAAGTAAAAAAAGGCCGTTTAGGTCGTGTTTATCAGATAAAAGAACAAAAAAGAGTTTTAATGTCTAAATTGATCTCTCGTACCAAAAATAATACGTTTTAAAATGGAGAGTGCGAATGTGAGAATATAAGAAATAAACATTAAATAATGGGTATATAACAATGTTCCGAAATACCTAACCCATGCATTCTTTCAGAACCTTAATGTTGGTATTCTTTCGTTCAAAACTATCCTTTCAGGCAATAGAAAAAATTGCTGTATAAGAAAAAATCACTCAACTTTAAAAGCCAACAATTCTTTAAATGTTGATGTCTTTAGCAGGTCAATTTAATTTAAAATAATGTTTCTTGCCTTAGTAATACACACTGTGTGAATTGAAATAAAACGTCAGGTAAGTGTAGCAAGAAAAAGGAGTATTTTCTAACTTTTGAGTTATTTATTGAAAGGGTGGAATTGAAGAATGCCATTACCAGGGAACTATCCGTGGAAAGAAGGACTCTACAGTTGTTCTAAATACTTGCTCAGGACTCAGGTGATCAGTCTTCCTACTAACAGTATAATAGTTATTCTATCCGCTACTATAATTATTTGAAATAATCTACCGCTTAACACCTCTTTACCATCATATTCGCATCAGATAGATAACGTAAAATTAAGACTGTGCCCTGTCCGTGTCAAAACGTTTGTTCTGCTTAATTTAATTAAGCTTTTTGCCATAACGACCAATCAATATTCTGGTTTTCGAAATTTGAGGGTAAATTATATATATAGTCTCAATTTTTTTTTCGATTTTAATCTGCTGGTTTGTTTGAAATGCTAAATACAGCCTATAAATATAACTTTCCCGGTCATGTCGCTTTCGTTATTTCCCACTTTGTTTTCCAGATAATAAGCAATACAAAAATTATATATATTTTTTTGTCTCTTTGATATCTTAGAGGAATATTAGACGATGGAAAAAACACGTTCTATATTACACCTGAGAATGAACACAAAGTAAGTGAGTTCAATTTTTCCTACTATGTGTTGGGGTTAGGTTAGGGTTAGTGTCAGCCTTATCCTGACACAGCATTCTTTAAAAAAAGAGATAGACCCCGACCCCGCGTTTTACTGACAACCATATATAATTCATTATTGCTTCTTTAACCCTTTTCTCTTTCTTGTGTACAATTCCTAATCTCGCGCTTATCAACAACGTTTACTTAGTTGAAATATGGTAATCACACGTTGCAACATCAGTGCGAATTCGATCACAATTGATTGTAATTTCAAATTTAAATCATAACTGTATCGCTTGCAATTGAGGATGATCGTAAACATATCTTGCTCAAAATTCAAAGTTGTTGTTCATTTCTACGGTTTCCTGTTTGTCTACTATTTTCCAGAGAAGTTAGAACCATAAAGGCAAACTGTTGCTTGCGAAACATAGCGTACCGCCAGCCAGTATTTAGGAAGAGTATTTCTGACAATCTCAGCGAATGCGCCAAAAGAAGCCCTCTGGAGGAGAAAATCTAAATACCATTATATGTAATAATTGAAAGTAAAAAAAGAGAAATATATTAAATATCATTAATAAAAGTTGTTGATCTAGTATTTCCGGCAAGTAATTCGGAATTTTATTATTACTGAAAGTTGTCGAAAAAAGGAAGAAATATAGAGTTTATTTGTCTGAATTCTTAGGTCACTGGTGCTCATAAGGTACTTCAATCTAAAGCTAAAGAAGATGACCCTACTGATATTCACAAGAACTGTGGTAAGTGGTACATTTAAAAACAACTGGTCCCGACTTTTCTAACTATTGTTGAGTTTGTAAGTAGAAAATATTTAGATACAAAGTATCTGTTTTCATTTTTTTTAGGAAACGACGAGACGCATAGAGATTCCTATATCTTAGAAAATAACTACGGGCCATTTCCTAGGGTAACTGACTTGATAAATTTTGCTGTCATTTTTCTTTTCTTATTTCCAGGTTCCCAACCATAGCATAAATTTTTTAGATCTTGTTATAATGTTGGAAAATCAATATCAGATAATCTTTCCTAGAAGAGTTTTTGAGACCTCTACTGTCAGGACAGTTTTTTTAAGGCCAGTTTTTTTTTATCAGTAAAGTAACTATCAGTAAAGTAGCCCCCAAGAAACTAAGAGTGCGACCATTGTCTTTTTTCCTCTCTTTTCCTATTTTTCCTTCGCTAGGCTCTCTGTTTGGAGAAAGGGTGATAAAATCGCGAGGAGAGGGAAGGGAATGGGTGAGAACCTGTAGACACTGATTTGGGATTGCTATTCCGCCTTCTTGTCTTGTAATTGCCGATCATCCGTCAGCAAGATCGTTATCTGTCACTTGGATACATAAGAATGTAATCAATTTCGCGTGTAAAAAGGGGGACGGTAGCCAGGGGTCGGCAGGCAACACACAACTTTTACCTCGTGCCAAAATGCTTGCAATGAGGTTTTTTCTCTGGCGTGTAGATTATGCTATGGAGGGTTTGGTTTTAACTGAGAAAATGTGATTTTCTTAGAGGTCGTGACACGCACATTAAGTTTCTGCGGTTATTGTTTCTGGTCGGCGTGATTTGCCCTCTGATGCAAGAACATTCATTGCGGCTTAAAAAGCTCATCAAAACAGAAGACCCCGTCATCAGTCCCGGTAACTTAAGGGCCCGAATCAGAAGACCCTCTAATGAAGTCCATTTTGTTTCGTTTGCTAATAACTCTACTGTATCATTTTCCAAACTTTTAAAACTCTCTTCTAAAATGGAAAACCTGTTTACAAGCGATTATTTAGACTGCTTGCAGTCCGCCTTTTCTCTTAAAAATCCGTCTAGTTCTTATCTCATCCAGCCCGATTACAAACCACGACGTTATTATTACAATAAGGGATTGAGACCAGACGAAAAAAGACGGACTGCTGACTCTTTTGTAGTCAACAAACCCTCCGTCAGCCCAGAAACGGAGTAACCGATTGGTCATGATCAATTGCACAGCTGTTGACAGATAATTGACCGGTCCGTGGTGAGATTGCAAGCAATAAAAATAGTCACGCGTCACAACCAACTGCAAACAATAGCGAACCAAGCAGTAATCTCAGTAATGAACTTTTAAGGATATCTTACAGAAGGAGACTGCTGTAAATTTCCTCAAGGGACACGAATTCAAGGCAATCTTACCGGATTTAAAGAAAGTGTAATTTTTTCAGTTGTTTTTGTTCTATTTATAAATCGTTTCAACTCACTCAGGTTTATGATTAAATTACCTTGACACCTTGGTTGTCCCCAGAAAAAACAAAAGAGTCAGCAGTCTCTTATTTCTTCTTCTCGGGCTTACGCCCTCGTTTCTCGCGAGTCCTTAGGTTTCGCGTGCAGTAACTTTGCAAAGAAAAATAAGAGACTGCTCCTAGTCTAGCGATTATTTAATTTAAATCAAATTCGCATGATACGTGCCGACCAAAAAAGCAATGTAAATCAAACCTGTCAACAGTCAGTGCTCTCGCCAATAGGAGCTTACATCAGGATCTGATGCGCAGGGGGTGCCGTGGAAAGACGGTCCCAAAGGTTTGTCTACAGGCTCTCACCTTTTCCCTTCCCTCTCCTCGCACTTTTTTCACCCTTTCCTTAAACAGAGAGCCTGTTCACAGGCTACCCCTTTTCCAGTCAAAAAAAAAAAAATTCCGCAAGACAGGAAAACAAAGTGACTTACTCTTAATGCTTACACTTTTAGACGGGAATTAGGCCCTGCGTCTTAAACGTTTAACAAAAGACCTTTTTTCTATGATCTGCCTTTTAGGAAACTAGTCCAGTTACGTTAATGCATATAGCATGAAAAAGTCTGACGTTGTGCTCTGGGAGTCAGTAACAGCAGCTTTATAACGTTTTCGTTCACCTGCAGGCTTCACCTTTTAATTTTAGTTCGCTAGGCTAATCCAACAGTGTTTAATTGATAATTAATCTTAATGAAGAAGAGGATTTATCTTGAATATGTAACTGCATTGGATTAAGGTAGCTCGAAAGGGTTTTTAAGGGTCAATACTTCCCAACTTTGAGCATAAACTACGTTGCCTTTAACAAATATCTGGAAAAATTACCACCACAGCTGTATTAGACAAAGACAAATTTTTCTATGATCAAGGCTACAATGACATCGGAGTTGTCATAGCAACAAAATGACGCCATTACCTCTTTTACTTGCAGCCGTATTTCTCGGCACTGGGAACTATTGTTCCAAAATCGTAAACGTTTCATCGATGTTCGTGAGGTTTGAGAGAAATCTGTGGGAGCGTTTTCGAGATATTTTGAGATGAAATTTTTCTGGTTAGAAATAGAGTAAAAAATGGACAACCTTGATGTTCGGCCGTTATCTATAGGAAACGAAATCCTTTTGAATTGCAATCTCGCCTCGGTGTTGTCTTATTTATTTTAAAATCGTGTGTGGAAGATCATAGGGACAGCTTTAGCCGATTGCTTGAAAGAAAGATTTGATTATTTAACCATTTCTTTGCTATGACCATAGTTAATTGAGTGGATGGTTATGAAACCCGTCAGACTCCTTTGTTATATGTTTTTGTGAACCTGAAAGTGCACAACGTTCAAAAGAATTCCTATCATTTTGATTGTATTGACCAATAAAAACGTTGCATTAATTTATTCCGTAACAATTTGCCAACAGAAAACAAAGGATTGTGCACTTTCACGGTGCTTTGAACATAAACTGGAGCACTGTTGTTTTTATCATTGATGTTTGCCGCTTTTCATAACCAGTCTCCTCTAATAACTATGCTATGACAACTCCGATGTCATTATAACCCTGATGATAAGGTATTTTCATCTTTATCTAATACAGTATTGGTGGTAATTTTTCCAGATCTTTGTTAATGGCAACGCGGTTTATGCTCAGATTTTGGAGGTATTGACCCAGAAAAAACTCTGAGTTACTTACAACATTAAAACAAGATTATAGATTTTTTGAACAATATACACCATCAGAAGATCTTTTATTTTTTTGGTGTAAAAAGCAGACTTGAAATTTAGTATCACCTTGCCTTTCATCATATCCTTCATTTACAGTTGTTACTCATTTTTGACAAACAATTTTTCAATTGTTAGCATTAATCACCGTCAGTTTGAACTTCGCTGGAAAAACTGGGATGTTTTTTCGGAGCAGCCATTGTATTATACTACATTTTTCCTCTTGATTATTTTAGATACGAAGAAGCATATCAAACACGGATGACATTTACAATCATTACCTGGAAACGAATGCAACACGATACACCGAACTGGTGGCCGTAGCAGACTTTAGAATGGTAACAACAGAAATGTAAAAGAAAAGCTTATGTTAACGATGTACCTTAGTTTCTCATTACGTTCTTTTCATTATAGTACCTGAAGCACAACAATGACACCGCAGCTATAAAAGACCGAGTGATAACATTGGTAAACGCCGTTGATGCAGTAAGTTATAATCATATTGAGAAAAAAGTACATTAGCTAGCGAATTCCTCCATGAAATTCCCTAGCCTGTATACAGCCGCCCCCTCCCGTCAAAGAATCGGAGATGGGGCGTCTGTGATTCACCGCTGCTAATCGTGTATGGAGGCCACGTGATTTTCCCCGGAATACGTGGAAAATTATTTGATTGGCTATTACTCATAAAACACTGCATCATGTAAATGAAGGATTTTGATTGGCCTTAGGTCGTGTCGTCAAAACATAGCACGCACAGAAAATTATGACATTCACGGACAGCTACACGTATGTAGCTATTCAGCTCTAGCGATTTCGGAGAAAAGAAAAGAAACTAAAATCTTTATTGGAATTTTCTTTAGCCTAAAAAGCTGTGGGTTTCAAAGCGGTCAACGCATCCTGTCACAACAACACAGCTACAGAAACAATAAAACCACAGTAAATAAGTCAATATGCATGAGACATACCAGCTTTTTAACCTCTGAATGCAAGAACCAAAGGCAAAAATATGCTTTGTTCAGTCAAAGTTTATGGTACCCCATGCACCGGGGTTCATAATCTACGCGCTGGAAAGGAAAAGAAGAAGAAGGAAAACCTCTATTGCTCAAGCAAACGCTAAGGTCACGTTTCACACTATTACGAACTTATGAGTCGCATCTGACCTGTCAACACTTTATTCAAAACTAATGACTTTCCGTATTCACTGGGAAGGCTTGCATACGATCATGGATCTATTCCTTTAAAAAGGGCTTGTAAGAAAAGTTTTCTTTCTCGGTATAGGGTAAAGCGATTTTAATAATTGTCTCTTTCTCAATTGCTCGATGGAATAAGTCACACGCACCGGAATTTTGAGACATTAAACATGAGCCGCCGAAATTTTAGTCGGCGCCTTTATTATTTCTAATTTGTTTAGCATTATTCCCATACACGATTAGCAACGGTCACATACGCTCCTTCTCCAATTTTTCTGAGGGGAGGGGGTGGCTGTACACAGGTAGAAATTCCCTAACATTGTAATCTGCGTGTCGTGCACTGGAAAGGAAAGGGAAAGGCGATTAGTTCATTCTCATAAGGTTGCAAGGTCACGCGAGGGCGCCTCAGTCACTTCCCCCTCGCGCACACCTCGCACGCCTGATTCTAGCTTTCTCCCCCTGTCCCGTTTCGAGTGCGTGCCATGAAAACTGCTTAAATTGATGTAAGTCTAGTTCATGATCAATTGTGTCAAGTACCCTTGAGTAGAGATAAAAAATCATGTAGTAGATAATTCCCCAGTAAACGCATTAATGCTTATTTAGTTGTCACTGTTTTTGTTGTCGTTGTTGCTATTGTTGTTATTTTTTATCATATTAACCAAAAGGTCATAGGGGCCTGTTGGGAGTACTCGGTTTTTACTTCCGACCAGCCTGTGTCACTAAGTGAAAAATCATCTTTCTCATATATTCACCATAACATATAAATCATTGCGCATAAACACATATTGATATTCTAGTCATGGCAGTATGCAAGATGTTTGTCGCATGAACCTAGTTTAGTGCCCTTAGCTCCCACGAGTCTCCAGTGCAGCTTAGTGGTAGAGCATCTGGACTAGTCACCAGTGGGTCATAAATTTGACTCCTATTGGGAGTACCGCCGCCCGTCACTGACTGAATAATCTTATTTCCCATTTATGTCAACTAAAAAGAATGCGGATGCATTGAATGGTTTAAGTTGAACATACTCAGTTTGGGCTCTTCTCAACTCTCTTCTAATTTCCCATTTTGATTTCAAATGCTTTACTAATTTCCTTTCTTTTCTTGAAAGATTTATCAGCGAATAAATATTAGAATTGTATTCAAAGCTTTGGAAATCTGGACAACAGGCGATCCATTTGAACGTCAGAATAAAGGTGGACCTGATCTTAGCGCATTTAATAAATACCGAAAAGAGCATTTGCAGAAGAAATTTCCTCATGACAACGCACAGTTACTGAGGTACAAAACTTCTGTCTGCGAAATATACGCCCTTAGTTATGATAAATCATAATTAGAATCGTACCGTCTGTACCGGTAAAATCCATTTCTTGTCAGCTCTCATGTAGCTGCTATCAAGCCTCTTACGTAGACGTTCTAAGGGTTAGTCAGACGTTCCTTGCCCACGTTCGCTGGGAAGGATAAAAGAACTTCTGCGCGAAAGGCTATCAAGTAGGCTATGCTTGCAAATTTTCTAGAATTATCTGGTAAGATTTAGTATATATTGGAAAACTAGTTGAAGACATTTACATGAATTTTGATCCACGTCTGAAGACTAATAGCTCTTTCTCAGACAAAAGGTCCTCAAACATTGTCCTTCATCTCTTGGTGTTAATTCATCCTCAATTTGATAATAAATCTTTTGCAATGCAAAAAGGTCCTCTCCCTAACTTCAAAATAAAAAGGCTAAGATAAAGAACCCCATTTTTTCACCCCGTCGCTGTGGCAGGCAGGTCTGAAATTCCAATAATTTAGATAAAATGTAGTAGTCATTATCCAATGGTCTAATTTAGAAATTCAGTGGTAAGCATTAGCTGGTAAGAATTACTAACAGTTTTTTGACCGTTGAGTAAATCACCTGGTTGGAAAAAGTTCATATTCAGATCCTTCAGCAATGAAACAAATATTGTAGAAATGCTTTGTGATTCAGTTCATGTCTCTTTTTTACCTCAGTGAATGGGGCTGGTCTGACTGCGCTGGTATGGCCTATGTCTTTGGAATGTGTGGCTCAGTATCAGCCGGAGTCAACAGAGTAGGTTAACATCATTATGTTGTTATGACCATCGATAACAACATTTTTTCTGCATGTTTGGTGTGTTCGAATTTTCAGAAGTAGTATCAATAATGGTAGCGCCCATAACTGATTCAAGTGAATGTTCTTCAAGAGAGGCACCCCCGCTATGAAGGCGCTAAATAATGAAATGATAAACTCCTTGGTTCTATCTATAAATCAAAAACGAATTTTTGTCCAGCAAGTATTGAATGTTATTACTGGAATGATATTACTATTCTCATGCTGAAGACTAGACAATAATTCAAATGAAAACACTTCATCAGTACTTGCCTTCTCCATTTAGTCGCTTTTAAAGTTATACACTGTTTTAACAGTAAGTCTTAAAAGATAAATGTGAAGTGGAGAGAATACAAAATAACATAAAACACTACACACCCACCCACACAAAACTAACCAGCGCTGACAAAAATGCATGTAGCTGGGCATCAGGCTCTTCGTAGATAACTTTATTAATTTGGTCCCCTCCTCCTCCTATTTATGTTATAGTGGAGTATGGGGAGTATTATTGGCCCTTACGTAACAGTTGCTCATGAGATGGGTCATAACTTTGGATTCAGTCACGACACAGGTATGTTCTCTCCAAAGTGGGAAAAGTGGGGGGGGGGGGGGGAGGGGGGCGGTTGGTAACAATATCAGAACCATGCCTTTGACAGCTCTTTTGTCCTAAAACTGACAGGGTTCAGTTTCTATTTTTCTAATAGTCCAAGTTTCCTTTGGCAAAACAATCATTGGTTGTTCAATAGTACTTTTTTCATATAGTAACTAACCTTAGGATTACCCCCACACCGAAATGTAAAAAGAGCAACCCGTTTATGATGCTTATTTCAGTACTTAGCGTACTCATTCAAATCTTACTTACATTGTGTAATACAAAACAAATAACTCTCTGACCAAATTGTTAACGATTTTAGAGTAATTACGTGGTTGATGATTATTAATTATTGATCATAACTGATTAATTCCTTTTTTTCATATCTAGGAACTTGCAAATGTTTAACACCACGAGGATGTATTATGGGTGGACACAAGTTAGTACAGATATTACAGAGTGCAGTGGCGGATCCAGGGAAGAGGCCTGGAGGGCCCGCCCCTCCCCCTATTTTTAGAACAAACTGAGGCCGGATAAGCCGAAAAAAATTTTGGGAGACCGCCCTGCCCATCCCCCCTCCCCCCCCCTTCCCCTTTATCGTAAGGTCTGGATCCGGCAATGCAGTGTAAAGTTATACACTTCCTGTTTACCATTTGGTTGAATACTGTTTGTACAATAAGCTTAGAAATGTGAGAATTTCTTTGCCAGAAGACCTCTTTTTGCCGTATGTGTTTTTAGTATTATTTTTTTGTTCGTTTTTAACTTTAATTGTTCTTTTTTTGCTGTCATCATTGTTGTTTTCCCACAAGGCAATTTCAAGTCGGTGGCTTATCAACACTAGAAAAAAATTAAATGTTGGACCCGAGGATTGCCGAATTCTTTTATTGCTTTAAATGTTTTCCCAGCGAAAAAATCTTTTGGCAGACAGGATAAACAGGAAATTGTACTTAACTGTACTACATGTACTTTTCTTTCTTTATTGTTTGGAAAAAAATTCAGAACAAGAGTTCCAGGATTTTCAAACTGCAGCATGAACTCCCTCAAAAGACTTAACGACTGGTGTTTGTATAACGTACCAACTTACAAGGTATGAATTAACTTCTTTTTTTTTTAAGAATAAATAATTGCCTGAAAATTTACCTAACAGTGCTCGTTTCGTTGGCTAAATCGCTGTCACATGACGAAGAATCGGACACTAAAATTGCTTCGTGTGTATATACTAAAACAATTATTCTTTTCAATCTCGGTGAATAGTGGCTTTAGGAATATTTACCTCGAAATATTCAGCCACTATTCACCTCGATTTCAATCTAATTTCAAAGAATAATTGTTAATTAGCTCACTCTATAAACTACCAGCACAAAATCTAAGGAATATCATTCACACCTTTAAGAAATGTCAGCATTTACGTATGTACTGTTTATCGTATTTTGTCGATTTAAACTCTGCATTATGGTATACAGTTTATTTGAATCATCTTTCCATCGTATTCTATTAGCTTTTTATGCCCTAATGGGTTTCTGATTGGTTTGTTTATGTTGTGGTCCAATTTTGTCCTTGGCTACCTTTTTTTGTTTTTGGGTAAGGCAATGCATGATAAAAGACAAAAAGGTCAAATATTGTATCACAACATGTACAACTGGATCGTATAGACCTATGGTACTTACTCGGAATTCAGTTTTAAATTTTGAATCGCAAGAATACGTACAAATAATTTTCATTTTGAGATCATGCATGATCTGATTCCTAAACACAACATAGTCCTGCGAAGAAACTACTGCCATCAATTAGTTAGATAGATAGATAATCTTTATTTATTCACGGTACAAAATTCGTCAGCTTTAAAAATGCCTAATACTAATATTCTCTTAAGTTACAAGGAAGACTGTTCCAGAGAATGGCGCCACTATAGCTGAAGCTGTTTTTGTAATAGTTTGTGCGCGGTAATGGAATATTGAGTTTATTTTCAGAGTCCCTTAGGTTATATAATTTTCAAATTTAGAACTAAGATAGTTTGGACCAGTTTTTAGTAGTGTGTTTTATTGATTAGAAATGTTCTGTTTTGTATTTTGAATGAACTATTACATTTATTTTTTAGTCTTTCAATAGTTATTGTGGAAACGGAATTCGTGAAGATGGAGAGGAATGTGACTGTGGCACACCCGAGGTGTGAGCAACACTGTTATAGCTAAGTAATGATTAGTAATATGTAGTAAATAACCCCCTTTGAGTGTCAGTTTATATTGGAGAATAACGCCTGCGGCTGAGAGATTGTCCGACCTGAATTCTATTTTAATGAAACTGTGATTGATTTCGTGTCAAATAAACTTTCGCAACGCCCCATAAAACTCGAAAAACAGCGCCTTCTTAGATTTGTGGACCGTTGGCAAACCTGGCTTTGTTGCTGTGGATGGCGAGCGCTGAGGAATAGTTGGTTGTGCACTGGACGACTCTTTTAATGGCCGGGAACGTTTTTTCTCTCTTCTCCCCAGTCTGAAATTCAGACAAAAACGGCTCATTTAAAACACTGTAATATTCTTTTCGGAATTTCCATAGATGACAACTATGCGAAACCTTTAAAGACTCCAACCGTAAATTATGCTACGATTTTGAATAATTGAACAATAAGATATCTTTGTTACCTCTTAGTGTTGATGCCATTAGAAAACAGACCACTCTGTGGAGACAAGTAAAACATTCCTCGAGTGAAAATCTAAAAGAAAAGTTCCGAAGAATAAGGCAATCCTTTGAAAACTGGGTCCGTCTTGGGAGAAAAGCTTATTTATCGAATATTGTGGATGAGTCCGGCCTTAGCAAATCAAAAGCCTAATTTGGTCGTACGGCAGTCTCCGAAATAAAAAAACTTCTTTTCCCGGGAAATAAAAGTTTATTTTAGGAGAAACAAATAATAGATGACCAGACTCGAGTTGAAGTCTTCAACGACTACTTCAAATGTGAGGGGGAGGGGAGGGGGGGGGGGGGGGGGACACAGGGTGGTCACAACCTCCCGCCTCCCGTACCTCTTACCTTTTTGTCCCTTTGTCTTCCGACTCCTGCAACGTTTAAAGATCGGAAGCCCGGGTTTAGTGTTAAAGCTGTGGGGGTAATTTGTCAAAGATAAAAATTGTCACAAGTCAGTTTTCTTTGTTAAACTGAGTTTTCACCAACCTGGTTATGAGGTTTGACCATCGCTTCTGACATCCCACTACAGCGACAATAGTCTCAGTCCACTGTGCAGTGTAACTGCTATTGCAGTTATAAAAAATGCATTAACATGCATTTAGGAATCCAGAAATTACCGGGATCATGCAATTTAAAAATGAAGTGGAAGAGCCAAACGTTACGGTAGAGTTCAGCACTCCTGTCTCAGCCTGTTTAGTTCCCAGCGTCTAATTTTACTTATTGTAGCCTGCAAAAACAGCGGCTTCTCCTCGCTATTCCCCTCTAGGGACATTTCGTGAGACGTCGTCAGCGGCGAAGAACGAGGAGAAACGGCTGCTCTCGCAGGCTATACTAATTGCATATCTGCCGCCGTTACTTTTCGTTATTTCTTGTAAGTAGTCGTAAGCTATAAAAAAAACTAACTTCAACGAATGATTCATATCACTACACAAGAACTGCATGTTCGTTCACCGTTTACGTTTTCAAGTGTTCAGTTTAGTGCTGGTGGAGGAGTGTTGTTGTTCAGCCGGTTATCAAATTTCAATCCTATTCATATTTGCTCGAGGAGTTGTATATTTCATCAAACCTCGGCGGGGAGGTTTAGCCGTTATAAATTCCTATCCTATCGTATTTCAAAGACCCCTGGGAGGAAAAAGCAATGTTGTTGTTCATAAACTCAAAATAACGCATTTTTTTGATTTAAAGATTTAGATTTATTTCTTTGTTTTTAAAAATGTCTTAAAATCATGACATATTGATAACTTTGACGCTTTATTCTAAGTTGTTGGAAGAGGATCGGAATCGAAAAGACCCAGGGTGTTGTTCATAAACTCAATCCGTTTATGCTTTGTTTTTTAAATGTCTTAAAAGGACATATTGACTTTGACGCTAAGTTGTATGAGGATCGGAATCGAAAGAGGGGGTATCGTACACGGATGACGGGAATTAAAATCAAATAAAAATTCGTGATATAAAAGAAACTTGAAGTTTCGATGGCATCATGTCATCATTATCAACAGATAAGAAATTAACATGACTTGTGATAGTATTTATAAAAAAAGAAAGGGCGAAAAGTGCATGTAAATTTAAGCGTGAAAATGGACAAATTACTATTGAATGAAAAGTTCGCACGGATGGAGTCCGCTTAAGTGTTGAGCTTAGGTCTTTTATCTGTTATAATATCAATATCTTGTATATCAAACACTGTAGTTTCCCTCGGCATTTCTTGAGGACCGTGAATTCGCGAATACCGAAGTCTACATTAGGAGAACTGGCTACACTTCATTATTTGGAATCCTTCAATGTAGTGCGTATGTGCAAGAACAAGTAGTTTCAGTCTCATAAGGCAGTGACATGTACACAGACTACATAACACACTGCTCACATCTGTGGCCGGACAACTCTGACTATTCGTGCCACGGAGAAAAGCTAGTACATCTTCATCATAACTCAGGTCTTCACTCACATTAGAATCTGTGTATTCTTGCACTTGTTCCGAGTCATTGGAAACGTCATGTTGATCATGCCCCTGAATGTCAGAAGCTGTAGTTTCTACATCATCTGGAAAAGGTTGAGTAGGGAAAACTACTTTCTCTGCTGAGGAATGTTACATATAGAAGGGAAATGTTCCTGCCTTAAACGTTGTTGTCTCTTGACGCACGCTGCGCTGACGGACGGCCCTATCATTATCAGAAGCCAATTCTGTCATCTGGTTTTTTTGTCTGTTATTGAACTGCCTCATTGGCCTAGGGTGCCTCATTTTTGGAAATGGCATCAAAAGGTGTTGCTTGTTCGACAACTGGACAATACGATGGTTCATCTGTAAAATAGTCAGCAGTCCAAGTAAAAACTCTCTTTATACTTTCAAAAACAGTGTGCACCAAGTTGTGTGCATACTGCAAGGTGGTCTGTAGTAGGTCGTTAAGGTGGCTCATTGCATCAGGGGTCTCCACTTAGACCGTCAGGCACGTGTGAAAATAACTATGTAAGTTGGATTGAGACTGTCAAGGAACTTGTAGAGATCTTTAAGGCTCCTCAGAATCATGCTGACAGATGACTTTGTTTGGTGGGAAATGGTTCCATGTTGACCAGCAGGCATGAACGATTCGTCAAGTTGATCGAGTACACATTTATTTGCTTCTTGTAAGTAGCTGTGGAAAACTTCCACGTGTCTGATCGCTTCTGTTAGGGAAAGCTGTGCCGTTGTTTGGTGCTTGAAATGGACTGAGACTGCTTTGTTCAACAAGCCAAGATGTTTTAGAAATCCAATGGTGTCTTTGATGGAAGTAATAAGCTTAAAGCTACCTGCTTGGGCGTCTGTTACAAAGATGTTCTTGTCCATCTCAACACAAAGTCATACGCCCATTCGTTGAGAGAATGATGCATCAATGGACTTGCCATTGGAATTCCGCTCTTTTCCGGTGCCCATAACAATGAAGCCCTGCTCCCCAGGGGCTTTGACTTTACTTAGTGACTTGCTGTGTCTACAAACACAATACCTCGGTCGTATGCATCAACATGAGTGCTTTCAAGACAGTCGGCAGTTCTGTTGTGCGACAAAACGTCAACACTGAGGCTGGACATTTCAACTCTTTCAACTCCACTTGGATTACCTTGATGAGAAATTTAGAGAACGTTATAATTGTTGAGGCACATCTCTAAAAGCTAAAAAGTCAATTTTTGTTTCCTGCAGAGTAGAGTAAGCAGAGAGAAATTGGCATTAATTTAGCTAAAATGATTATTACCGAGTTGGACGAAAGTCCTCGCCAGTTTCCGAGGCTCCTCTTACGCAGCCCTGTTCCCTTTTAAGGAATGTTTAGTTCCACATTTCACTGTTTTGGTGTGCCGTGGCTTTGAAGGCCAGCCAAGCTTGAAAAGAAGAAGTTTTAAATTTGATGTTGATGAAAAAGGCGACCATTTTGTGTCGATGACGCATAACGAAAGCATGGAAAAAAACCAAGGCGAATTTTCAGACGAACAAAGCTATAACAAAAACACAAAAATGTACAAAACCAGCAGCAAATCACGGCTCTCGAATTTTTTACTCTTAAAATTGCATCCTGAATGCAAAGCGCTGTTCCAATTGGCGGCAAACTGACTAGATATATGGTACGAAAATCAGTCTCTGAGAGTAAAGAAGCTGCCACCAATGAAGAAGGAGATCAGCTTCTCTACCAATCTTTCCCTTGTTTCCACCAATCATTCAGTGAGAGCTACTGCCATAACCTTGTGGGCAAATGCTGGCCTCACAAATCATGAGATCTTGGCAATATTTGGTCACTGCAACAAGTCGAACCTATAAAGCTATCACAACATGTCGTGGGCGCAACAACTGCGTAAATGCAGCGACGCGCTCAGTTCAGTACTGGGTGATGACCAGTCAACGGAGCAGACGCCAAATCAGGTCGTAAGGCTTCCACTGCAAGAACTACAAGTTCCTTCCATAAGTCCTTCCATTAACACTTCAATCTTCACAAATCAGCATAGCACTTCGGAGGTCAAGCAGCTGTAGTTCAATCTATGCACGATCGGAAATGTTCAATGTAATGTTTACAATGACAAGCCATAAATGTAATGACTTCCAGTAAAACAGCTTTTATATAAAGTTTTCAATGGGTTCAAAAACTCGTTCTTGTTAGGAGAAGTGCTGCTGTTTCTTGTTCTGTGGACTGTGACGTTTTGTGAAAGTTTAGCGATCGGTCGATTACTTTTTCGGTGCGATTGTATCGTTAGTTATGATTGGCTTATGATGACTTTAGAGAGAAGACACGACTTGATCATGCTATTAATTAACAAGTATTGAATGAGGCTGAGTATCTTATGAAGAATTATGGAGATCGAGGAGGCTGTTATCCGTCGAGGACGTAGGCCGAGGCGGATAACACCCTCCGAGATCTCCATAATTCTTCATATGATACTGAAAGCCGAATTCAATAATTGTTTTATTATTCATTCAAAAGAATTCTCAGTTTAAAAACGTGGCTAAAACATGCTTACCTCCATCGATCCATCGATGTTAAGTTGATCTTCGATAGTGCACGTTTAGGTTTGTGCAGCTCCGCAAATATTCTCCAAATAGCAGATGTCGCCCTTCGAGTTGTCTTCTTCCTGTTCTTGCCATGTTTTTAGCTATTTTTTCGCCTAGTTCTTACTCTTGAAACGAGCGAAATGTCCGCCATTTTTCAAGTTCACAAGCACAACAACTCAACCTCGTTCCCAGGTCTTCTCGGTTAACGGTGCCTTAACCTGCGAAAACGCTGCATTTTTGACGTCATTTCCTCGTTAAACACAAAATTCTTCCAAATCTGGTCATCAGTAACTGGTTATGGTGAATTAAACGCGTGCTTTTAGCCAACCAGAATCGAGAAAATATTTTAAATGAATAATAATATTATTTTTTTGCTTACATGACTCCGTTCTTCCCAAGTTATTTTTTAAAAGCAATAGAGTACATTTTCTATGGGTTCACTGGCGTGATAATCCACTTGGGATGTTGAAAGAACACGCGAAAAGCTTGTACACTCTTTTTTTTTATAAGAATATATTTTATAAGGATATCGAGGTTGAAATTTGCGAAATTTTAAGAATATTTTAAGAATAAAGTCGAGGCTGAGATTTTGAGAAGGATAGATATAATTTTGTGTCTTGAAACATCTGTAAATACAATACAATTTTATGTTTTTAACTTAACAGTATAAAATTATTCCTTTCTCTGAACAGCGAAACTAGCCAACAAAACGAAAAAACCTGCACTAGCCATAGCAAAATGATCAACGCTAATGATAGTTCGATGAACGGTATATGTAATACGGTACAGTATTCAGCAAAAAAGACGTAATTTGACTGCAACGAAAAGCGATGGAACATGTGCACAATGTAACTCGATACAGATCTAGATACCAAACACTTGTAATTGATACCCCAATAAATTCTAAAACGGAAATGTCATAAGCTATAATTTAAGAATAATACAAGAATATTTTCAGCCTAAAATCGGCAGAAAAATAAGAATATTCAGCCTGGGCTGGAAAAACAACGTTCTTATAAAAAGAGTGTACATCACTCGCCTTCGGCTCGCTGAAGTATTCAACAGCATTGTCTTGCGTCTTGACCAGGATATTCAGACTGGCAATGTCTACTTGGATTTATATAAGGCCTTCGATTCAGTTTGCCATGCGAGGTTTCAATGAAGCAAATTGAAATCAGTGGTCTTTCACTTGACTGGTTCCAAAATTACCTAAATGAGACGAAGCAGTGTAATGTGATAAATGGTTGCCATTTTTCATGGGCCGATGTTGTGCTCATAATTTCACTTTAACTGGATTTTGCAATTGAAAATAAGAAATTAAAAACTGAAGGGAGGCTCATTTGTTTTTACTCTTTTATCCTTTCTTGCAACTGAAAAATCATAAGGCAAATGTCGACGCGCGGGCGTGGTGTATTGTCATTTATAACCCACTGATTAATTTTCGCGCGTTTTTTGGCTATTTTAAGTTACGTGGTTGCAAATTGTAATTTGAGTCATCCTTTATTGTCAGGCCTTTTATAACTCAAGTAATTTCCGGTCAGTTCAACCTGTTCTTACAGCTGGGCCTCACGGCAAGAACACAATTTCTGTAATAAACAATAACAGTAAATTTGCATAAGAAGCTATGGTCTCACTTCAGAGCTGTACAGAGCTACAGCACTAGAAACACAAGAACAGGCCAACAAAACTGCTTAAAACCTACTGTACCCTCAACAAATTTTAGAAAAATGCATTGAATTCGCCATATGTGAGATTCAACGTTTGAACTGGGCCACACTTGATTGACTTTCAATTCCAAATCATGAGTCAGCCGCACCTTCTTTGGCAAAATTATTCACGTCAAATATAACCAATTATCTTCACTCCTTAATGGAAACCAGATTTGTTGATTAGGACTCGCCAGCCTAAAACAAACAGTTACTCATATCTTAACTCATAACTTCCTCAGATATGCCTTGCTAAAGATCCCTGCTGCGAACCACACAACTGTGTCCTGAAAAAAGACGCTCAATGTAGTGATTTACATCACTCATGCTGTCAGGGATGCCTGGTAAAGTTCGTTATTATTATTATTATTATTTTTCTTGGATTTGACCGTTAATGAAGAACAAAGGCAATGCCGTTTCTTTTTATATGATATTTTTTAGTACAAAAAACAAGGAACATTATGCCGTGGAGTAAAGACAGATTGCGATGTGCCAGAATATTGCCCTGGGGATTCTAGAGACGTAAGTACATTATCAAAATTTTTACCTCCTCTCATAAAATTACCTTGAGTACTATAACTCGACCTTCTTCTAATTTATTAGACAATAGTGTGGAAAAAGGATTCACCTGCATAATCTGTTAAGTTCTGTTTAATGACGCGAGCACTCGATTATTATTATCAGGATTTTTTAAGGGGGTTAATGGTGATTTTATTTTTCAGTGTCCAGCAGATAGCTTTATTCTCAATGGATATCCCTGTAATCAGACCAAAACGGTATGTTACAAACAATAGAATGCCAGCTTCAGATTCTCAACTATTACCTGTCCATGAAACTTAGTCTGGTTATTAAAGATGAGGGTGAATCATCCTGATCACCCATGCACCTTTGAGACGGATGTTGTACGTTGCTAGAATCAGTTTACCTTAGATGAATGCCGTTGCTTAACAATACCTATGATATGTAAGTGGAAAGGATCCTTTCTGCGCATTTGAATAAGGAACCTAAGAGGTTGAAAAATAACCTGAAAAAATTTAGGCATAAGAACCCCGACCTTTGCGATTACCAAACGCAACGCTAATCAAGCCAACTGGAGAACAGGCCATTGTCAGTTCGTAATATGCCCAATGGTGGAAATGACTTCAATGGAAATATAAAAAATGAGTTGCCTTTTGAACTACTTGATTCAGGATCATTTCCCGTTTCGTATCTCTATCTGCAGTTCACATTGGCCTGTTCGCCAGTCGGCTTGATTGGCTTATAAAAAGAGATAGATCGTTGCGTCCGGTCATCGCAAAGATCAGGGTTCGATTTCCGGTCAAAATTTTTTCAGGTCAGTCTTTTTCAACCGCTTAGGTTGTTTATTCAACTGCGAGGACCATTTCCTCTTTCATATCTTTATCCACAGTTCAAAATATGACTAGTTTTTTAAATTTCCATTCAATACTTATGATATAGCTTAATTGATCACAGATAATGATCTGCTCATTTGCTTACTATGCATTTTCTCACGCTGCATCTGCAAAGGAAACCATAGCCTGAGTATCAGGCGTTTCTGGGGGAAAAGGGGAAAGATGGAAGCGAAAAAGGGAGAGAGTTGAAGGAGAGAAACGCCTGACACAGATGCTTTTACTGGAGCAGTTCCACCCCCACACAGCATGATTCGAAACCATCCAATCAAAATCACATCCGGTCATTGGGTTGTCAGCTTCACGTGTCAAAAAGCTCGCCTAAAATAAATCTCACCATACGGTCTTGCCGAGCTCCGGTGCTTGTGTTGCTACGATTTCGCTTTTTCTGAAACCTCCAATGAGGAGTTTTCGAATACTTGTGTTGGAAAACCTGCCGTTTTTGAGGAATTATAACATGTTTTAGGAATTGTGCTAATGTAAAATCGCCAACGCTCTGTTTGTAAATAGACGTGTGCCCGGAAAACTGTAAACTGCTTTTGTTTACAGAGTTACAACAGCGGCGCTCATTAATAAGCATGTTCCTGAGAATCTGGCAGCTAAAAAGCTGCTGTAGTTCAGGCCGAAAATCGTCCGAGGAAAAATCTAAAGTCAAGCTAAAGCCTTGGTGCTGTCGGCTATTCTCAATACATGGCTACCTCGCTTTAATTTTATTTACAGTAACAATACCCTTTTAGTGGCAGGATGTTGTAAATCAAAACTTAGATATCTGAAGCACTGATATCGTCTTCTTTGTCCTGGTCTTGTGAAACCAATACTCGGACATAGTTTCGGCAGAAGCTGGTATATGAGGCTTTTCCATACTCCGAGAACATCTTTCCTCTTAACTACGAGGCTTTGAAAACACATTTCTTTCTGCTCGGGTGTTATTTTTATTCCCGGAAAGAACTTGAGAGCGCCCTTCAGAGTCTCTTTGAATTCCTCTCTGCGTCTCTATCCATAAAATTAACACATGAAATCAAAACCCTCTGCTCGTGTTTACTTGCGGTCGGTGACGTCAGGGCGTATTGTGTGTTATCCAATCACTGCCACACCCAGATTCTGGATGTGTCACACGATTTGCTGAATGGTTTTGTGTCAGGCCTTCCTTTCTCTTCTCCCCCCTCCTCCATCAAAAATCTCTCCTCCCCTATCCCCTTAAGAAGGCCTGATACTCAGGCTAACGAAACCACAATTAACTTACATCGTAATGTAAGCGAACTTACAATAGCATAACCAAGATTTAGCAAAAAAGTAATATAAGCGACATAAACATCTGTGGAGCTAAGCAAGCAAGCTGCCCTAGTGCTGTTGTAAGAAATGAAAACTGTGGTTGTACAAAATCCTCGACCAGTTCTGCCTTGTTTTGCTTCTTTCAAAAATAAATCCGGCGCCTTTTTTCAAAAATCTTACTTCGGACTGCTAGGACTGATGATCTCCGTTTCATTGGGAGCTTTCCTCAATAGGGCTGCCCTCTAACTCATTTTCAAATGATTAATTAATTAATTATTGATTTAGTAACGTATTATAACGACACAATCCTCAGTTAAAATACAACGTTTATAAATAAACAACACATCTTTAATCTGCTACCAGATACAGTCTCATTACAACTACTTCGCACTTGGTTATTAGGCCATATGTCTGGTGACTAACTCAACCTAGCAAGTTCGCCTAGCGCTACACTACTCCCCCGCTTTTTATTTTTAAATAAGTGCTTAAAAGCACTGTCCAAGTGCTGGTCCACTATTTTGCATATCACTTCCGACTGATCCAAAACAACATCAATTAAACACAACAGACTAAGAGTCTATAAAGACTGTTTATGAACATGCCAGATGTCTACAGTTCTTAGGACTTGAATGGCATTAACCTGTACATACCTAGTTGCCAAGACAGTCCTATAATGCTTGTCATTCCACGAAAACTTCCGTTTAATCAGTCACCCAGATTCAGTATCAACTTGGTCGCTTTCGCTGCCTTAAAGGTCACACTGGAATCACTCCCAGGTATACATTGTACAGTCCACTCATGATCAGCTGTTTGACAGCCGTCACCCTCCAGATTTGGGCATCTGCAACAGAAGTTGTCAATTCCGCACGAGGATCAGGTTCCCTCACAGCCTTGTCACCGTTATCATCCTCAATGCAATCAGCATTCCGAAGTCTAGGGGAAACATCATCCTTGCCTCCTTCCATAGATTCTGTTTCTTCAAGCTCAACACCCTCTCTCTTTCCTTAACCGGAGCTGACTGTCCGTCGTCTACAAAACCTGAAGACATCTGTTGTCTCTCTCCCCTCTTCTCTCGGGCTCGATAACTGAGCTTGGGCTCGGCCTTTCGGTACACAATATCCGACAGCACTGATATAGATAGAGTCCTTCCCAAGGACAGTTAAGTTTGGCGCCAAACAAAACCACCAACAACAAATGGTCTACAAGCGAGCCGCTTGTTGTAGTTCAGTTTCTGCTCAAATGAAGCCTCGCCAAATCGTGCGCTCTAGCCGATCTATTTTGAATAGCTTAAGCATAGCCCGTCTGGAGTGTTAATGCATCAGGATGTCTCTCAGTTATGACATCCAGGGGAACGTCCATATAACCTACACAACATCAAGAGGTTAGGCGAAACTCCTGTTTAATTATGAACGAGCAACTCGATAGGCCATCATGGAAGCTGGAAGTTGTAGATCTCAGTCCGTTTGGTCCTGCTGGATCTTCCTACAGACTTCAGCAAACACCTGGTTTTTCTTTGCCGGCTTCTTTTCAACGAATAATAACTTTGAGATCAGAATCTGCTTCTTGTTGTTCCCTCAAGAAGGTGGAAGTCCAGGTTGGCCCCAAACTTGGCCGTGGTACAAGGATCACCAACAGGTTCTTCACAACTCACAGGTTGCTCGTTGTCCTGGTTAGGGACATGCATCACAGTTTGAACACCCACATCGACAAGATACACCCGTTCCTGTGTGACTTGCAACCCTTACACTACTTACAACGGACATCACAAGGTCTTCAAGAAAGTGCATCGGCATTCAGGTGTCGCTGTCCTGGTCGATACAGGATCTCGAACTCGAAAGTGCTCAAGAATACGATCCAACGTGTAATCTGTTCCTCGGGATCTTTGGCCTGGACAGCAAAGCGCAAATGGGCATAATCAGTCCTTGTACCTTGCAGGTAATGCCGGTTTTGGTTACCAAACTCAACGATTGCAAGAGCTCACGACGGATCACACAATAGTTCCTTTCAATATCCGACTGTTGCAAATGCAATGGGCTTTTCCTACCCGTCCTGAAACTGTGATAACGCTGCGCTAATTTCGTGGTCTGATGCATCGGTGTCTAGCACAAACTTTCCATCCCTGGTCGGGTAGACCAGGACGCTACCGAAAGTAAGGAAACCCTTTATTCTGTCAAAAGCCAACTGATCACATTTGTCTGTCCAAACTAATTCCGTCTTGGTTTCGGTAAGCTTGTACAGTGGCTTAGCTGTAGTTTGTGTTTATCAAACGTGCGTCCCATAACTAACACATCAACAAGATAGAACAAGCAAATCTTCAGACGTAGGCGTTTCAAAATACGTGCCATCAATATGGCAAAGGTACTGTATGCGTTGTATGAAGTTACGAATGCTGGCTTCTTCTCTGTGTTTGCATCGTTTGCAACTTGCCAGTAACCGGAAGCAAGATCCAAGGTTGTGAATAATCATGAGCCACTTAAAGCAGCAAGAGAATGATCAAATCGCGGCAAGGGGAAGGCATCCTTTACCGTCACTGCATTTAAATGGCGATAGTCCACGCAGAGCCCGTTGGTTGCTAGCACAACCGGAAAAGACCAGGGGCTAGACGAATCTTTCACCTTTCCCTACTGTTTGAGGTAAGTGACTTGTCACACTATCTCATCATGTTTCCTTGGTGAAGTTCGCCGGGGTTGTATTCGGATTGGAAGTGCATTACCCGTTTAGATTCTGCGCTGGAAATTGTGCGTGGTGCCTACAATCAGCGACAAAATTGTTGAGACATTGTATTCATATAGGGTAACTTCAGAGAACAAAAGAATCCGCACCCCTCCCCTGTCCCCTCTGTTCAAAGTTGGGGTGTTTGTTGTTTCCTTTAGGTAGCTCGAACATCGGAACAACATTTCATGGAGAGGATGGGGGAGGAAAAGCTATATTTCCTACTTTTGAAGTCAGTAAAACGTAAAAAAGCCCAGTTTAGGGCGAAGTGTCTCAACTCATTTTGTTGCCGATTGTCTAAATCGAAATCTGTGCGCTGTTGTCCTATTAGTACCAGTTAAGAGACGATAACTAGTTGAGATTACTATATTCACTGGGTCGTTTTTAAGAAGAAAGATAGGGTATCCATATAATCGCGTTGCTGTATGTTTCGAGAGAAAATTAATTTTACCAATCTTTGTACTCGGTAGTGTTTTCCAGTAATTATGCAGCATATCCACGTACTGAACGATTTATTTTCCTCTGATAACTAACGGCCTGTCTACATGGAGTGGGGGAACCCGATCTAGTGGGGTTGGTTTCTTTTGTTTTCACGCTCTGGGGGACACAAAACAAAAGAAACCTACCCCACTAGACCGGGGTCCCCCACTCCATGTAAACAGGGTCTTCTAAGTGTGGTAGTTTGGAATCGATGGCAGATAATATGTTGTTTTTGAATATGTCCCTAGTGAGTTCGAAGTGTTTATTCAAAGTTTGGCTATTTGATAAGGGTGTGGTCAACGATAAAATAGCCATGATTGTTATGCGCTGGAGAATTATCAGGAAAAATATTCCAACTTCTAACGCACAACAAAGCTGCATAGCATCGCTAAATCTGTGCAGTGGATTCGTTGCCCATATACCCATAAGAGTCTTTGAAGAATGCACTTTACAGTAGAAACTATGAGGTTAGGAGGAGACGGGCCACGAGAAACCACGAGTAACCAACTTTTATACTTATCTTGGTTACTCGTGGTTACTCGTGATAATTCCACCTAAACGGCAATTTTAGCGATTGTAATTGTTCTACTGCCTAGAAATCAAGTTAGTTTTCTATCCTTTTCACTTCGTTTTTGGTTTCGATAAAGGAGAGAATAAGAAATCGTTAGAAAATCGTGCACGACGCGCCACATCGCATTACGTCAAGGCATGCTAAGCGTGACACGAAATGTCACGCACTGAAAATAACGAAATCGCCTTATTCTAATTGTTAAAAAATAGGCACGTTGAAGTCAAACATAGCAAATATAAAGCCACCAGGGGTCTTACATCCCAGCATGAAGAAAGTACCTTATTATAGGAAATTAACGCTCCAATTCGCGTTAATTTTGTTGAACGTTAATTTCCGCGCTCTTAATTTCCAGTATTTTAACTCCAATTTTGGAACCTGTCTAGACATTCTTGATATTTCTTTCCCTTTTCCCGTTATTTTTCATCTTTCACAAAAGCTAAGGCGAAGGTTTACGATATTTCGAGTTCATCTTCATCGTTATCGCTGTCAGACGTGATGTCAGCTAAGTTTTGAATTTTTTTGGATCCAGTGTTGAAATAAATTTGTTCCAGTTGTCACCACCAACTGTGTCTTAATCGCGTTAATTTCCTTTGTTATGAAATTCTGCCTCCTCTTTCGCGTTAATTTTCTTTATTCGAAAGTCGTTTTCCATTAAATTCGCGTTAATTTAAGTCGCGTTAATTTCCAATACCTTAATTTCATGGAGCGTTAATTTCCTATAATAAGGTAGTTGAATTAGTTTTCTTAAGGATGTATCGCCACTTTTGTGATCCAGACAATCGGCAACAAAATTGTTGACACATTTTACTCAAATAGGGTAACTTCAGAGAACAAAAGAATCCGCACTCCTCCCCTGTCCCCGTCGTTCAAATTTGGGTGTTTGTTGTTTTCTATCGCTAGCTCGAACATCGGCACAACATTGCATGGAGAGGATGGGGGAGGAAAAGCTATATTTCCTACTTTTGAAGTCAGTAAAACGTAAGAAAAGCCCAGTCTGGGGCGATGTGTCTCAATTCATTTTGTCGCCGATAGTAAGTCCCTGTCTCAAATTGAGAATATGTTTGTAATTGAGGAGCAACTCCTGCAGAGTTCAAGCACGGCCTCCGGTAGAGTTGTATCAACTGCTTTTTGTGACACATGTTCATTCATTACTCTAGCTTGGTCCATAGCACTGTCATGGTTCTCTTCATTAAGGCTCTAGTGAGGTGACTGGCTTATCTAGGGAAATCACAGTCTCAGCAGCTAGGTAGAAAACTTCATAAGAATCATTAAAAACACTTAAAGGGACCACTCTGTCCTCCCTAACATCAACCTGAGTCCTTGCAACATAAAGTCCCTCTTGCTGCAAATATTAGTTCAGGCACGGTTCTAACAATCGCATGCCTAATTGAGATAACTTTGGATCTAAGTTAAATGAACGCTTGTGAACGATTACTGGAACGAGCATCTCAGTGGTCCTACATTTAGAACTATGGGGTTGGTTCTTAAAATCAGAAAAAATCAAATACTTTGCCATTAATGGACACTTGATTTTTTACACTGTCAATACGTGAATCAACTTTTGACAGGAATTCCATACACAAATGCTCTCATCCTCAACCTCAGCAAGAATTACATAAATTTTACCCAGGCGCACTACAACATGTCCCACACCATAAGTTTTCGCTTGTTAACCATCAGCAAGAGCAATGGCAGAATTCAATGAACTCAAATTGAACTTGCTAACACCATCAGGTAAAAAATCATAAACCTTGAACGACAAAACTGAACTACGAGATCACGAGATCCTCCGAGAAAGGCTGGCAAATAAAGGCCTCGTAATTTTTCATTAACATGTGACCGTTCCATGGGTGTATCAGGAAATGTTATGTCCTCCTTTGACGATGGCTGAGAGAAAGCATTGTTCACATCATTACCAGTTGTGGGACTAACATCACTCGCATTTAGGCATCCCCTTCGACCATGGACGATTACCTTTGCGCAGTTACGACGATAATGAAGACCAAATTCTTTGCAATTCCAGCATTAACCATTTTGCTTGGAGTAACGTGAAGGAGGTTGTCGTTGTTGGCTACCAGAGGTGTTCAGAGATCTTGAATAGGAGAGCTACTGGATCTGCTCAACTTGGGGCAGCTTGCTGAGTCTCCTGATGCTGTTTTGCACTCGAATGTCAGAATGTAACAATTCGTCCAACTGAGCTTTAAACAAATCAGATTCTTCATCAATTTCATCCATAGAGAGAACCTTAGGAGAGCTTCTTTGCCCATCTTCACCCACGACGAAACGCCTCGAGCTCACAAGCCAGCGACAAGGCTTCATCTAGGGTGCATGAATTATTTCTACGTCATTTAAGCCTGTCGTCTTGATCCTTGAGTGCATCAATAAAGTGCTGAACGGAGGGGAAGTCCTTTTAAGCTAGACTAGACGTAAACCGAACATCTTCTGCAAGAACTTGAACACTTTCGTTTTCCATTTGGCGACGGTTTTGAACACTCATTTGGGGTACGTTTTCAACACCAAAGCGCAGCTCCAATTTGTAAACATTTTATCTTGGCGTAATTTCGACAATCGCTAGTATACTTAAGCAATAGAAAACGTTTTCCGTGTTTACATAACTGTCGAGAATTCTCTCAATGCCTCGAGTGTTTATATCAGGCTATGCAAACACAGGAAAAAAGTTTTCTATTGCTTTTATAAAATAAATTTCCCGAGAAAAAACGCAAAACTCTTTGTATGGCACTGATTAAAAGAGAAATTCTTACCAGTCGCAAAGTCTTGTCCACGAAGTCTTGAACGCGTAATCAGTTCTTGTTTTGCAAAAAGATGTTTTCCAAAATACGAATGCGAAAAAAAATTGACACACCTTCTTTGTAACGATTTTCCAAGATTCAGCCGACGAAGGAATGGGTAAATAAAGTAAACTTGTCGAGTTTTGAACTTGACAACTGTTTCAAGTTCGTGCTTGCGTGATTAGCGCGCGAAAAGCAAAACATCTTGACGCCACAGCCACGTTTACGTACTCTCATGCAGAGACTCCTCTCAGCCAATCAGAGCGCGCGTACTATCTTAGTTATTTTATAAATAGCATTAAGCTCCTTTTTTGCTTCTCCTCGAACGCCTGCGGCAAGGAATAAAGCAGCTTCTTCTTGGCTGCAGCTATATTAACAACAGAGAAACGCTCAAAGTGTTTAGAATAATCACGTAACAACGAGTGCCATCATAATTCGCAGGATTTTTAATAGGCTTGTTAAATTTTCGGGGATGTGTAAACAAATCAGTGGAATACCTATCCTGTTGACTCTCTCGATGTGAACGGGTTTGCGGAGTGAAATCGGTGACTTGCATTGCTAATATTTACTGCTGGATCTTCAGATGAAACGGACTCTGGAGTTAACGGGTTCCCCAGTTTACAAGGATTAACTGGCGTCGAAAAACTCATTCCTTTGAATCCTGAATCCATAAGTGAGTTTTCGGCCATTGAAAACGGGCGAAACCGTGACAGCAAACACACGAAGAGTCTTTGAATACAAAACAACGCAAAAATATGAAATTCCGTCACGCAAACCATTGAAATATCGCCATTGAACACGGATATACGTGAAGTTTGTCTTTGTTTTCCGCTCCCACCATTTTAACGCCACAATCCTCAGTTAAAACAAGGCGTTTGTAAATGAGCTACACATTTTAAGATAGAGTCACATTTGAACTTCTTCGCACATTGTTATTACGCCATATGACTTACTCAGATGGGTACACGCGGGTTTGCCTAGCGATACAGTATTAATTATTTCATCGGTTACCGTGGCTGTTTCTCATACGTCTCAGTGACTGTTCAAGCCTGAAACTATAATATAGGTTCTAGCCCCCTTAACAGTCCATTTTGTTTCTTCAACTTATTATTTTATTGATCATTTTCGGTTAAAACCTCAATCTGGAATGTAGACACAACAAACATAAAGCGGCCTTCAGGGCGGGGTAATCTTCGGGACCTTCAAGATACAGTTCCCCACATCCGAAAAAGTACCCTTTGTAATCGGTTATTCAGTGAATTTGAGGTTCGTCAAATTACCGCATGATTGCGCCAACGCTTCTATAACGCTTAAGAATCCATTTTCCGCTTATTTTCTTGCTCTTCAATCCTAAAGAATCCCCCCCCCCAAAACTTAGACTATTAGCTATGGTGTGATGTTTCTGCAAAGGTTAGATCTAGAAATGTTGCTTTTAATTTCCAACTAGCAGAAGTACTACGATCAATTCGCTTAAACGGCTATACAACACGAGCTTGACAACTAGCAACTGTTTTTAAAGTATACGCTTATCGAAAACAACACACTTGTTTTGAAGGTGGTTCAAGGAAGTACAAACTACTACAGCGTATTTAAGAGAGATTTAAACCCTTATATCGACGCTCGATTTATTCGTATCAGCCCTCAGTACTGGAAAGGATATCCATGTCTCAGAACCGACTTTTTGGGATGCAATCCAGGTGAAGGTACGTACCAGACTTCCAGTTAAAATCACAATTTTTAGGGATACGAAATGATATCTTCTAACAGGAAATCTAACAGGGCAAGGGAAAATGAATGGATGGATGAACCAACCCCTACTTAATTACTTGTAGTGTGTGAGAGCGTAGTGGCAACCGAAAACTTCGGATTAGCAGATGGGACCAAGCGTTGTTGTCTCGTTTTCTAATGAGACAAGGATCTTTCGCTTCACACAGGTTTTTGACTGGGTACCAACGACATTCTACTAGGAAAAACGTGTAGTGGATCAGAATCTCATCCAGGGGGATCAGTAATACTCCTCAGTACTTCGCCGCGTCACCACTAGTTTTAAAACCTCTGGTGATTTGTCACTTTAGCATAAAATGGCTCTAATTTAAAAATTACTTTTCTTGTACGACAGCTAGCCCGACTGCTCCAACTCCATTGAAATCCTACGGATTGAATTATTGTGTCACACCGTCAAATAAGACATGCTCACCAGTCAATAACGATCATCTGATATATGTGGCTGGTGATAAGTGTGAAGACAGCCATCTTCAATTTTCATTGGATTCGAATGGTGTGTTACGTCACAGTTGTAGTCGGAAAATGGTGTGTCCAGAAAATGGTAACAACGGTGCAAAGATTTTGCTCAGCGATAGTTGCACGACCGACTTCTCAAAATTTGAGAGGACAACAGGTTTGTGTATTCTATTTTGTACTCACTTTATCATCAGGTTTATAAAGTTAACACTAAAAAGTCACGACGTTTCGACCTGTCCGAGTTCATTTTTCAAGTGCGAGTAAAATATAAAAAGTCGTTAATTTTCAAGGTTAACCTTTATCGCAAACTTTATCATCTGAGCTCTTGACAGCCAAATTATAACTCTATTTCTAACGTAATTTTTATTTCCTCGATAGTTTCATTGATACTTTTTCAAGAAAATACAGGAAAAGTAATGTTTTCAGGTCCCTGTTTTCTCAGCACAAAGAATTTTAAAAAAACATACTTTAGGCGGACTATCCGAAAAATTGACAGGTCTAGAGTATGTTTCTTTATAAGCTGTTTAATGACCTCCCTGCACCTTATGCTCTTTCTGTTGAAACCAAAAGGTTTAAAGACCTTGATTACGACATTTATCAAAATTCAAACAGTGGGAACCGCCACCTCATTGAGTGAAACGTAAATAAAACCTTTCAAAACATGAAAAGAGGGAATAAATAGCACAGTTAATGCAAAAAAAAAAAAAAACACGGAAGGACAAACTAAAACAAAATTTTATGAGAATTCACCCCCTTTACAAAAGTGTTAGACAAACATTCTGAAAAATGATAATATCATGTTTTGAAGACGCATTGTTAGACACATAGCTGTGACTTTTACAAGTAACCATTTTTACTCAACAAGGGAATAAGCAATTCTTTTTACGCAAATTATACAGCCGTAAGACCACTCCTTTTAAATTGATCTGTTCGAACGTTATAAGATACTGTGAGAGACAGCTCGATCAGTACTGGTAATAGAGGCGGAACTTATACGACATTGAACTAAATATAACTATTTTCTTTGCAGAATAATGTAGGGCAGGATTCTTATTAAGAACGGGAAAACTCTTTTTAAGGAAACTGTTGAAAAAGGCATACCGATGAAGCAGAAAAACTTTTTTTACTACGTATCGACTCAATAACAAAGTACATTTAATTTGTCAGACAAAACTCTTAAGCATATCTCGACTGGAAAATGCCTTCACACTTCTGGTGGATGGCCTGGTAATGGTCGAACGTTAGTATTGTGGTCTGGATGTGAGGCAGAAAGGCTTCAGATTTGGTTTGTAAAACAAGGTAATAATATTAATTATAATGACGATCATAATTATAATGGTAATAACAGTAACAGGTATGATAATGATACTAATAATGACAATAACCGCCAGTAGAGCTAAGCGAAATGATTGGAAAAAATAGCTAAACTGAACATAACAAGGTTAAGAATCCCACCTAGAAGAAGTGTATCTTTGAGAACGGTGGAATGATGTCATTTTAAAAAAATTCGGCGCTCATTTGTTTAGTAGCCTGTCTTTGTTATTCATGATACCATTCTTTCAGGGAGAAATTTTAGGGAGTCAAGTGGCCTGTAGTATCCTTTTACCAGAAGAGTCGAGTGGGAACCAGGAGAGTGTTTTAAACTTTTAGGCCTTTTGAGTTTACACTGAATGCAGAACGTCACAATTTAGAAAGCCAAAAATGGCGAACTCTTATAACCGTGATAAAGGAAGAATTTCGTTAGTGAACTGGATGGATTTCGAACACTGACAGAATCACACAAATTGACCACAATTTAATGAAGTTTCTGAAGTTTTTTTTTATTAAGAGCCTACTTCCCATTAAGGATTTCTTAATTGGGGTAAAATGTTTCCATTGTGTCATAAGAACAATAGAGACTCTGGAATAGGCCCTTACACGTTCTTTTTTCATTAACTTTTGACATGAACAAGTTAGGAAAAATCCGTCTGTCAATTTTCGCGATTTTGCGAAGCCGCCTATATCGTTGCTGGCTTAAAACGTATCACTTTCAAATTTGACAATTTTACCAATTTTAAGGTGCTCTTTTCATTGAAGTCTCCGGATTTTCCCCAACTTGTTCATGTAAAAGTTGAAAAAACCGTCGAAGGGTCTATTCTTACGCTCCATTGTGGATGAGCTTAGTCATTAAAAAGTTTAATCAAAAGTGTTGTTTGAAAAGGCTCTTGTAAATATATGTTAACAAAAAAATATTTAAAATTAAAGGTAGTCAAAATCAGGCTTGCCACCTAACGAAATCTAGTGAAAATCTCTATGCTGCCAGAGTCTGCCATGAACTTGTCACTAAAGATGAGGAAGGTTCGGAAATCAGTTGTTGACGGTAGTAATTTGTTGTTAACAGAATGTGTGGATGCTCTTGGAATGGAAAATGGTGACATCAAAGACATGCAAATTACAGCAAGCTCCTCTAGAACAGCTGATTTACCTCAATTTGGGCGTCTAAATAACGGAAAGTACTGGTGCCCTGAAAAAGCGAATAAAAACGAATATTTGCAAGTTGATTTTGGACAGGCAAGTAAATCAGAAGAATTAAACATGGGTTAAAATAAACATCCAATTAAAAACAAGTTTAAAAATTATGCTTGCAAAATCATTTATACTAATTCAAAAACGTCCTTGACTCAAAAGCCGACAATAACAGTAACTTTTTTTTTGAACAAGTAGGAGTGGTTTATAAAGATCATAACCCTTTCCCGTATTAATTTTCATTCTTCAAATTTACCTTAGTTTTAAGAAATATTCAGCACAGTTATAAACTTACCAATTTCTTTCTTTCTTTTTAAAAATTTACTCGATTACTAATATTTTTTATTTAATTATGGGTCAGATTAAGAGAGTCAACAAAATCTTGATTCAAGGCCGCGGTAACTGGTACAACTGGGTGACTGGGTTCTACGTGTACTACAGTGACGATGGCCGCCGGTGGACTGGGTTCTCTGCAAGTGGAGATAAAAACCATTCAAATGTATGTAGACATAGGTCATAACCTAACATGTGTTTGCTTTTAAGTACCTCCTTCACACTCAGGAAAGATCGAGAATCCAGTTATGAGTAAAAATTGACAACGAGATTTATATGAGATATATAACAATTATTCACCGAAGTGGAGGTGGCTAGTATGGGATATTTACCGAGGCCGCGAAGCGGCGAGGTAAATA